TATAATGGAGTTACAAGGCACTCTTCCTCTCTCAAAGCCCAATGCTCAAGATGAGGACAAGAAGATGCTATAGGCTGAATGCGCAGGTCCCCTCGAATTCCGTATGTTGAAACGTCATGCCCAAGGCGATGGCATTAGCAGGTGGGGCCTTTCGGGGTAATTAGACCATGGGGGCGGAGCCCTCCTGAGTGGGATTAGTGCCCTGATGAAAGAGGCCCCCACCGCGGGGAGAAGACACTGTGTGTGAACCAGGAAGCGGACCCTCGCCACGCACCGAACCTGCTGGTGCCATGATCATGGACTTCTCGGCCTTCTGAACCATGAGGAATAGGTTTGTGTTGTTTATAGGTCACCCGATCTATAACGGTGTCCTGTCATAATAGCCCAAACGGACTGAGACAAAGAGACAGGTCTTTCTGCTATAACGTGGCAAACGCAATTTAGTAAAAGCTCATTGTCTGCAAAATCCTGTGCTATGAAAACCAAGTTCATGAGAAAAATAGGCTTCGAAATCCATGCAGCTCTGTAATCAGAAGACTTTTAAAAAAATCAATCCAACATACATAACACCAGAACAGTTATGGAAACATGTGAAATTGATTTTTTAAAAATGTAACATAGCTATGATACCAGAATTGGACCTTTAAAAAAAGCCATGGTGAAGGCAGTAAAATAGAAGGGGGTGTAAGGAAGGCTGGCGGCTGCTGATTTGTGGGTCAAGAGCAAAATGGGCAAAAGAGCTGAGCAACAAGCCTAAAACACAGCACATGCCCCGCCCCCTCCCCACCCTGGAGCCGAAGGGGCACAGAGGGGCGAGCACATGTTCAGGACAGAATTCTTCTGAGGTTCTGCACTCAGCTGTGCTGGTGCACTCAGGGGTCATGCTGGTGCCGGGTCCCAAAAGCCTGATGTACTGGCAAAAATGACACAAGGACCCATGCTACTTCCATGTCACAATGACGTCATTCCGTATTTGCCAATCACCTATGAGCAAATGTGTGAAAGCAAAGCACATGATAGCAGAGCAGCCCGCACGGCCCCCTTCAGGAAGACGCCTCCCAGCCACCACGGCACCCTAAGCCTGGCAGCAACTACCCAGAAACGTCTAGAGCACAGACAGATGTGCAGGCACCGTGGGATACTCAGGGTCACAAGGTTCACACTGTCCGCAAGATCATCATTTGGCAAGGGCGATGGATGAGTACATCTGTGTGAGACAGTTGTCAGGAAAGAGGGACGTGCGTGGCTCAGGCCACACCCAGCACTTCTATCTGTTGACCAGAGGCCAGGTTCATGGAGTTGTCAGGAGCAACGACTCCAGGCTTCAAGCAGCTTGGATTCACATCCCGCCTCTCCCAGGAGGGCTTAACCAAGTTACTCCACCAACCCACACGTCTGTTTTCTATGCGAGAGGTAATGACAATAATTGTACTTGTCTCACGTTGATGCATAAATGAAATAACACACAGAAAGCGGTACAGGGCCCATAACTATCCGGGCACATTCCCACCCCCCTCTGCAGACGGAGGAGGCATCTGAGCAAGGGAAGTAAACGGGGGCTTTGCCCGTCTGCTCTGGGGCCCAGCGCCAATCCTGCCAACAGCGGGCCCTTCACAACAGTCAGATGAGTGAGGGATCTAAAGGCAGGAACATGGCATTTCTTTCTTTATGCTTTTCGACCCTCACGTCCCGTGAAGGTAACAGAGCGGGCGGCGGGATGCAGACAAGCCTCAGAGAAGGTAGGCGTCTTGCCTAAGGTCACTCAGCTCATTAGCAGAAGCAGGACGCCTCCAGCCTGTGAGCCCCTGCGCTCTGGGCGGACCACCTCCGTGTCCAGGGGGCGGGGCCAGCAACCTGCCCTACAGCATTTCAACACCGTGTGTCATTCTGACACCTGGGCACTTCTCGCACACAAAATCCCTTTAATTGGCACGCCTACAAAACACGCGTATGTGAGACAAGACGTGGTTATTTTTAAACTGCATTTCAAATGGCACGTGTGGGAAGATGCACAGCGGAGCACCTGCAGCGGCAGAGCCACGGTTCACGAGGCACCGATTCTGGAAAGTAAGAACCACAACCGAGGCCCGACCGGGCCATCATCTCGCTGTGGAAGGGGGGCTGCAGGCCGCACGGTGCCCTGTGATTGACCCACGTAACCCTCATGGCTGGGGGCAGCCGGCCCAGACCTGGCTGGAAAGCAGCCACTTCAGGCCCTATGCGCAGGCGCGGAGATTTTGTCCGAGGGCATTCGGGCAGCCGGCATGCCACTGAAGAAAAATAAACCCCTGTAAGGGCAAAACTCGCTACTTTCACACTCACTGAAGGCAGGAGCATGTCCGCCAACACTTTCAACCCAGGGAGTACGCTCTCCACCTGGTGCGTGCCGCGCTTGGGCCAAGGACGGAGGGGGCAGGAGTGATGACCAGAAAGAAAGGACAGCCCGGCCAGGAGCTTCCTGCAGGACCGCCCGTCCATCCGCGGCCTCCTGTGTGGCCCGGCAAAGGCAGAGCGCGCACTGCAGCGGGCCTTCGCCCGACATCCTCGGTTCACTTCCTGTGTATTGGCAGCTGTTCTGGCCTGGGGGAGGGGGGAACAGCGAGGAGGGCGGCAAAGCCCCTGCTAACAGCAGCCTCTGCTCCAGGAGGGGCAGATGAACGGCAACCATCCCTCAGGAGTTCAGCGCCACACAGGAATGAAGGGGGCCAATCACAGGGGGCAGCAGGGGGAGTTGACCCCGAGGGCACCTGGAAACTGCCGGAGGCTGAGCAGCCAAGTGGTGAGATGATCCGGTAAATGTTTTAGAATCATAAATCACCGACTGTCACCTTTCAATGAATCCTGGGAATGTGTGGGATTCCCATTTTACTGACAAGGCAGCTGGGGCTCGGAGATCATCGTTCCAAAGGTCCTGAAATCTCTAAGTGTCGAGGTCAAAGTCTGAGCTCGGCATGCCTGGCCATGGTGTCCGCCTGTCCCCTCTGCAGGCGGGATTCCCAGCTGGAAGCCCATAACCCTTCACCCCTGTCCTCACCCCCAAGTTCAAGACTCGCGGGGCCTTTCCACGTCAGACTGAAAGTGTGGGTGAGTGTGAACACGTCCTCTTTCATAAAGGGTAACATCACTTAGAGAGAAAGCGGTCGAGGCACCAGACGACAGCCCCCAAGGAATGCACGATGCAGCCCATGCCCGGTCGGGGGGTGGGCAGCCCTGCTCGGGCCTGACTTCATCAACTCGGGGGGCTGGGGCCTATTCAGGGTGCTAGGGGCACCTGGATCTTTCATTGTTACTCCTGTTCAGACTTTGAGAGTTCATTCTCCAAACAGTGTCCACTTGTACACATTCAAATGTTTCTGGATGGCTATTACTTAAGAAAAAAAAAGAATATTTATAAACCCACTTTGGACTTCATTAAAGTTAGTTCTGGAAACGTTCAACCTGTATTCCCCTGAACTGAACAGTGGTGATGGCGGAGTGGCCGGAGAGTCCCTTCAACAAGGTCCAGTGTCAAGGGCGGAGCGGACAGCGGGAGCTCAGAGCCGGCACGTGGCTCAGATGCTCCCAGGGTCGCAAGCCCCTGGGAAGCGGCCTCGGCCGCTCTTGTCCACCCCAGCACAGCGGCTGCCAGGAGCAGCACATTCACAGTGACCACGGGGCTCTGCTCCGCCGCTCGGAAGCGGTGAGCCTTGATGGGCCCCCCCATCTCAGGGATAAAAGGACCACGCCCCTCCCAGAAGGCTCAATGAGGCGGTGCTTGTGTGCAGAAAGGGTTTGGAAACCACAGCCAGTTATAAACAGTTGGGGGAAAAAAACAAAACACGAGAGAATCACGCTGTGAGGGGACCACACGGGACAGTGCGAGGTCAAATAGTTGCGCGAGGATGAATCAGCAGGAACTGGAGCCGGAGGGAAAAGGCGTCGTAGGCGGGTTGACGGGATCCAGGCCCCTGCCCAACAAGAACGTCCACATGCTGATCTCGGAACATATAAACATGCAAGGTTACAAGCAAAGGGGATGGAGGTTGCAGACGCAGTTGAGGCTGCTTGAGATGAGGAGGGGATGCTGGGTTGTCCGGGTGGACCCAATGGAATCACAGGGTCCTTGTAAGTGCAGAAGGGAGGAGGAAGGGCTCCACCTGCCATTTTCGGCTTTGAAGACAGAGGGCACGCAGCCGCCTCAAGGAGCCGGAAGAGGCAAGGGCGTGGATTCTCTAGAAGGCATGCAGCCCTGCCCCCACCTGGATTTGAACCCCATGAGACTCCGAACGTCCAGGATGGTAAGAGAATAAATGTGTGTCACCTAAGTGGCTATGTTTATATGTTGTCAGAGCAGCCCAGGGTCACAAATGCCAAGGATGAAACAGATGCTCCCCACTTGTGCACAGTGGAGGGGAAGGGGGCTGCAGGCAGGGTGCCTGCTTGAGAAAACGCCTGGAGTTGACAAGTGCACAGTGCGCAGAATGTACAAGGAGCTCGCCTTCTTGGAGCAGGACCTTGACCATCACAAGGGCCAAGGTTGTGGTGGCCCCTGAGCCTCAGGGAGGGAGGCTGGGCACAATGCACCAGACCCAGAAGAGCCACTAAGGGTTAGACGTGGGGGGAGCCATGTAACAGCCCAGAAGGCATGTACGTGCTGGAGTCAAGAAGCACCGGCAAGGAGGAGGGGGACGGGACAGAGGCCGCCACGGGCCCGTGCCTGCGGGGCTCGGCAGAGCCCTCCTGCCCTTTCCAGACACAGCACGGGCAAGTGGCTGACTGGGGTCCAGGTATCAGCAGCATCCTTTACACTAAGGAGTCCTCAGAGAAGACACCTATCCTGGCCCTCAGGGCTGTCTCTGGGAGGTGAAGGTTCTGCAGCAACGCCTTTCCTGCGGGGAGAATTCGGGGAAGTAACCCGTGCTAAATGCCGTGGGCCGCGCCTGACGCCAGCTCAGCGAGCCACCGCGCGTCTGTGACCAGAGCAGCCATGCAATCAGAAGAACCCCTCCCCGCGCCGGTACCTGGATGTTGAGTCGCCCTCGATGCGCCCCCAGGCCGTAGCGCTTCACTGTGGACGCGTGGAGCTGGAAGTCTGTGATCTTTAAGGTTTCCAGGCCAAGAGGTGGGCAATCTGGAAAGGAAAATGCTCGTTACAAACAAGGACAGATGTTGAAAGAAACGAGTTCCAGTTTTCTAAATCTGGCCACGCGCTTTCCCGTTTTTCCCCAGAACTGTCGCTCATCATTGTAGCCCCACACGCTGGCATGCCCAGTGTTTCCGGACAGAGACTGTCGACTCATCTGTCAACATCATGCCAGTTTTCTGCTCTGGGCGTTTATGCTCTAATATCCCTTCTCTCTGTTGTTGTCCATGCTACTGTCTGAGGCTGTTTCCAATTAAGGGCCCTTCCACAGTGTGACTCAGCCAGGAGCAGTGTTGGTTAGAAATTTCAGAGCAACCCTGTGGTTGAGCTCTGCAAACGGATCAGAACTTAACTGATTTTGCTTCGGCAGTTTTGGCCTGTGCATTGTGCATGCTAATGCGCAAAGCAAGAGACAGAGAAAACAAAAAATCGTCTTCTGTTCTTGGCAAAACTGGTAGCTTTGAGGAGGGCTATTAAACACAGTGCGGTCCCAGCTTCCCTGGAATGAGATGTCAGCACTGGGTCAGGCCCTCGGCCATCATCCCAGGTCAGCCCATGGTCCCTACAAATAAGAGATTTACCAGCAGCCCCAGGGCCAGAGTCCAGGCCTCCTGACTCCTGGGCAGCTGTTCTCACCGCGAACCCTGCCCTGGGGCTAGAAAATCTCCAAGTGATACTCTCTCCTTCCCATCCCACCCTGGAGGAAGAAAACAAAACCTCACAGGAGAAGTGGACAGACTATTTCTATGAGAAGTATTAGAAAGTCCCAAAGGTAACAAAGGCCACTGCCGTCACGCAGCGGGCAAGGCTGTGTCAGCTGCCACATCAGACAAACGTCCACTCTTGTTCACTCTTGAGATCATGTGACAGCCAGAAAAGCCACGGCCTGCGTCCACAGCACGGCTGACAGTGGACGTCTTTGGAGGGAAGCTCGGATACACACACACACACACACATGCTCACACTCAGCCTGCTTGCAAATGTAGTCCTAATAAGGAAGCTCTTCCTTATCAGAGGACACCATCTTTAGAGCGGTTTGGACGCCTTCGCCATCATCCATGCTATTCACAAAGACCCTAGAGAAGGCTTTGCACTGACAAAATGAATACCCTTGACGGGCAAAGGTGAAGCCATGATGCCCCGGGTTGGGAGGCCCCCTTAGGTGTGAGAGCCAGCAACAGTTCACTTGAAGAGGAATCGCCATCATCGAAGGGATGGCGGGAGTCTCACAGCGGGACCAAACGGGGACACGGAACAGCTGGAGGACGGGGCCAAGAGGGCCCTCGTGCCCCGGGCAGCAGGCGCTCCAAACCATGTGTTCCCAGAGGGGAGGGGGAACCCACAGCATCACACCTCTCGGGCGTCTCCACTCAACTTCACCTCGCCCCTCCCAGGGGGGGCCTGACTCCATCACACGTCTGCCTGCTGGGAAGCGGGTGCTCTGAGTGTGGACTTTAGTGTTGGGACACAACTAACACAGGCAGGGGACAGGCTGCCTGTCCAGCACTGCAGGGAGATTCTGGCCAAGCGCAGCCTCCGGGTAGCGCAGGTGCAGGCGGTGGGTTCCTCCAGCCACTTCCCCTCCCTCTGCACCCACCATCTCCGCTTCCTCTCTGCCCACACCTTTCTTGAATTCTGCAATCTGTGCTCTGGCTTCGGTCTGGAAGCCGGGTGGCTCTCCTCGCTTGGTGGCCCCTTTGGACTCCTGGGCCTCTTCCTGGTGTCCCTGCAGTCTGCTCCCTCCCCTCCCCCGACCCCCGTGGCTTCCGTAACACAAAATGTTCCTGTTTCTCGTCTTTCTTCTTCCTTGTTTGAGCACTCTCTCAGAGTTCTCCCCCTCATTCCCCTTTAACAAGCCACAGTGGGCACCCCTGGCCCCATCGACGAGACAGGCACAGTGTCCCCTAAACTAGCAGGAATCAAATCACACATGGGCTGTCTAACTCAGAACCCCTCTTCCGAGCGTATTTGAACACCCACGATCTCATGACCTGCCATACGTCAAACCTGATTGTCAGCAGAAGCTCTGGTGGCTCCCGCGGATGAAGCAGACGCCCAAGTCATCTTCCCCGGCTCAGTGTGGAAGCAGCTCTCCAAGGCTATGGCGGTGACTCCCGCCTCCTCGGCGACCGGTCCCCCACAGGCAGTTGGTCGAAGCCCCAGCAGGGGTCTGAGACTCGGCACTAGCCGTCCTCACGCAGGAGGCCGATCTGTATTCCACCAGATCCCTCCTCTCTCCTTTTCCCTTGAGAGCTTCCACGCCTTTCCTTCTGCCCAACGTCTGTTGCACACTGACTTTCACTCCATCCCGTGACCGATGCCATTTCGTGCCACAGTGCCCCCTGCATCCCCACCTAAGTCAGGGCGCCATGTATCCTACAAAGCTCCGGTAAAACTACCTGCTACACCAGCTGCGAGTTACCTGCCTTCCCCAAATCACATTTGAACACATTTTGTAATTAACAAAAAGTGTAAGAATAAAGGGTCTAAGCGCAAACTCTGCGCCACATCTCTTCACGCAGAGATGCCCGAGGCAAAAATCCTGCACCAATCCTGACAGGTTGCTAGGCCCCCCAGAATGATCGAGCTGAGAGTCTGGAAGAGGAATCCCACAGTTAGAAAAATAAAGGATTTCCCTACACAGGCGGACAGGCAAATGATGGGTAGGGCAAGTGTCTTTTGATTTAAAGATTCTAAATGAATCCAAAACACAGAGTCCTGAAATGTTCTCCATATTAGATACTTGGCTCTGAGGAATTTCGCTCTATTTTGCCCTGATTCACTTTTCTCCTTTTTTTCCTGCCCCAGGAACATCCCCCACAAGATTTTCAGGCGTCTGCTCAACATCCAAATTGAGCCGCTCCTCCCCCTCGGGCTCACCAGGAAAACGGAACAACTCCACATTGGAAAGAAAGTTTTGGAGGATGATTGAGAAAATGCTGGAAAGCCACCAGGTCCTGGTCCCTTAGGCCAACTCTCAAGGCCACTTCCCGGTCCCTGAGGTGACATCTGCACAACTCCAGTCACTCAGCTGCACCCTGCACTTTGGACACAGCAGAGACTGCAGCTAACAAGCTCGGCGTTAGGATTCCTTTCGTTTTCAATTCTCACAGAAACATCCTGCCTCTTCCAAGGGGCTGCCACCTTCCAGCAACGAGGGCTTGTTTTCCACCCTTTAGAAACTTGACTGAGGAAGACGGGGTGCTGCCTCAATGCTCAAGCACATGGAGGAGAAATAAGTGTGTTTGAGTTTAATGTCAATATCCGCCATCAGAAGGTAACCAAGACAGATCCAAGCGTGACCCTGGTTGGAAGTGCAACATGTTTGTATGAGAAGCAAGGTTATAGCGTCAACGGAGGCGCTGATTACTAGGTTTAGGGCCCCTGAAGGCAACGGGGAACTCATCCTGGCTCCGGCCCCTCCTCTGTGTTCTGAGTCCCCAGCCAGGCTGCTCTGTTGAGGCCGCTCTGGCGGAAACTCAATGAGGACTCAGCTCCAGCCCAACCTGTTCGAACAGCAGCGCCCAGGTGCCTCTCAGGAGGGCTGGACAAAAGCACATCAACCCTTTAATCGGCAAATCAAGGTTTTGTTGTCTCTGAGAGGAAAAAGACTCTCATCTTGATGCGCACCTGGGTGAGGAGAACATGAAAAGAGTGTGAAAAAAACACTCCGGGAAGATAAGACTTAGAGATTGGAGATGAGCCCTAACGTGCAGGCAAGAGAGTGACGGTCGTCCAAGACGACTCTGCTTTTCTCTAAAAGGCAGGACGCCCTGTGCTGAGCCGGTGCCGTTTCCCAGGCCCGGGCCTCCGCCTGCACCCACTTCCGCCACACGCATGCGCACGCACACAGTACTCCATCTGTCCCCTGCTAACGTTCTCAGCAGTGCGGCCACCTTACAAAATGGATATTAGCACAATGGCACCTATTTATTGGTCCTCCATGTCCTCGTCACCATAAATGACCTATGCGCATGCCCGCTCTTCAGTAAGTCAGAGCGTCCGCTGCCTTGAGTATCACGGAGGTCTTGACCATGCAGGGCAAAGGAAGAATACAGCGTTCAAACTGGAATTCTATATCTGGGGCTCCGGTCCTAGCACCCCTCCCCAATACGCCTGATCTGTCGGGGAGGGGGGAAGCTGTTACAAGAGTCAAGTCATTACAAGGATTTTAAAAGGATGGTAATCCGGGGAGCAACAGGGCTAACGTGCAAGCAGCCGCCCTGAGCCAGACCCTCAGAAACGATGTTGATCTTCATAACGACCACGAGAGACCACTGTACCCAGAACGACCTAAGACTCGAGGAGGCTCACACAGAGTCACACCACTACTAGGTGTCTGAGCTGGAATCTGAAAATCGAGCGTGACATAAAATCCCAGGCGCCATCTTCACGCCACGGCTGTTTGACGTGAAGACTCAGGTGTGTAAGGCAAACACGGGTTGCATGGGGGGCGCAGGGAAAGGCCCCAGAGAAAGGAAGGGCCAGCGGGCCCAAGGCAGCGGAGAGCCAAGGCCAGCGGGCCCGCCGGGAGCTCCATGGGAAGCGGAGCAAGGAATGCTTCAAGGCTTCCAGGGCCCTGTGGGGGACCAGTTCTCACCATCCTCAGCCTTAGTTTTCATGGCCGCCTCTAAGTGGAATAGCTCTGACTCACGGCATTCTTTCCTTCACCTTCCTGAACTTGACATTCCCTTTGATCAATGACAGCGTGGGGGCAGCTTCCTGGTGCGCTGGGGAATGTGTGTCCAGTGGCTCTGTGCCGGCCTCAGAAGACACTGGCTCCCCAGAGGGGCGCCTCGCTCGGGGTCTTGGGAAAGGAGCTAAACTCAGCCTTATCTAATCGCCCTGAGAAAGCTCCTTCACACCCCCAACCAAGAAGACCCTTCAGATGTCACGCGCACCCTGGGCCTCTTCCGAGCAGCAGCTCCCACCCTCTCCAACATCGGAATGTCCTGGGGAACTTAAAAAACGACAGCCAGACCCCTCCC